AATGCTGGCCTCTCTTTACCAGACAATCTCATCAGTGTAGTGTAAGATAGGTCAGGAAGACCTTTTGGAAGTGCAAATATTACTACCTCTTCATGAAGTATTTAACCCTTCAGTACCTCTTTACGGTTTAAGAACTACGGGATCATGTACCAGTTTACCATTGTAGAGATAAAGTGGGTGTTTTGCTAGTAAGTGGTGCAGATATCAGATACATAGAGTCCACAGAGATTACTATACTTAGAACATTGCAAGTGAAATCCTACTGCACTTCAAAATACACAAAGAAAATAAAAGAAAGCAAGAACAAATACATTGACTCTGGAGTTTTTGTCTCATGACCTTTTTTTAATGTGAGTAACAATGCTATCTCACAGAACACAGCTAGAGAATATGGAGATATGGAGATGAGGAGATACAGAGAGGTGAATATTTAGTAAAAGATACATTGGCAACACTCAGGATGATAACTGTTCAAACATTCTGCTTAGTTTCTTTCACATTCAGTCTTTTTCCTGGCCAGAGGAACTTTAACCAAGGGCAGTAAGACAGTCACACTATATTCTGGACTCAGAGGACTCTTTTTTCCATTCAGTCTTTCCATCTTTATCACCCAGGGTGGTGCCTTTCCATTTTTATCCAAACAGTCCAGCAATCACTGACCTTCATCTGGATTAGTATACAACATACATCAAGTCCTTCATACAAAAATTTTCCCAGGACCCTGCATCATGTACCTTCCGAAATTCCCATCACAGTAACAGAAGGGACCACAGCCAAATGTCCATCCAGCTTCTTTTGCTGAGTATCCCATACGTCCCTAGCAGCCCTTAATTTCTTCTAGCTTACAGTCTCAGTAAACACTCACACATACATACAACTCTGCTGCTCAAAATCTGCCCTGTTTGGAGTTTACTTCATACCTGCCAGCAAACCTGCACCTGCTTGGACTTCCCACAGGCTCACAACCTCCTTTGGGTATCCATTGGCTCCAGAGTGGGATCCTCTTCTATGGACCTCCAGGGGTTCTTCACTATGGTCTTTCCACAGAGCACAGGAGAATGTCTTCTCTGAAGTCTGTAGCACCTCTTCTCCTTCTTCTTCACTGAGTTTGGTGTCTTCAAGGCTGTTTCTCTCACATATTTTCCACTTTGCCTGCTCAAGCCACACAGCATTTCTTCCCCCCTTTTTAAATGCATTACCCCACAGGCACTATTGCCATTGCTGAAGGGCTTGGCCAGCAACGTGCTCATCTTGGAGCCAGCTGGCATTGGTTCTGTCAGACATAGGGGAAGCTTCTAGTTTTTTACCACAGAAGCCATCCCTTGCTAATCACCTTGTTGCTAAAACCTTGCATAGCAAACCCATCACCCATATTTTTGTATGCTGTACTTGCAAACGTGGCAACGGAACATTTTCAGAACACCACTCCGGGTTTAATTGTGGGGACATCTGACTCAGTGAGTTCAGAGGTTGTATTTTCACACCCACATAAGCTTTTCCATTTTTTCTGATACAACTCCAATGGGTGCTTGTACTGGCCTTCTTCATTAGTCAGGCCTGATTACTGTCTCTAGCTGTTTAAGCTATTAAGCTACTGAAATCACTGTAATTCTGAAGTGTAAAATGTATGAAATCAGCAACAAATGGACACAAGCTCTACAAAGTTTTAAAAGAAAACTGGCATGTCAGCAGGAAGCAGAAGTCTCCTGTGTATATATATATATATTTTTGTATATACTGTACTACACACTGTGCTGAAATACTCCAGAAACAGAGTCAAACAGTCACACAGTCCCTTGAAGCAGAGACATGCCACAGAAGTGCACTGCAACATCCTTTCAATATCATCTTTTTTCCTGTGGACAAAGGGAAGAGGGAAAATAAGGGAGTGGGGTTGTTTGGTTTTTATAAAAATATTTGATTCTGTCTCTCAGAGTATCCTCTGGATGAAACCTCCATCATGCAGCTAGACAAATACATAATCCAATGGGTAAATGGTTGTCTGGAGAGTCAGACTCAAAGACTTTACTCAAAGGTAAATGGGGAAGCATCAGGGTGGAAATCGGTCACTGGTGGGGTTTGCCAGGGCCCAGTTTTAGGGCTGCTTCTCTTCATTGTGTCTATTAATGACCTGGACACAGGAGTGGGGTGCACACTAAGCAGGTTTCCCAACAGTGTTTAATTAGAAGGATCCATTGCTTCCCTCAAGGTTAGAGCGGTCTTATAGAGACATCTTGATAGATGTCACAGCCTGTATGAACTCTAAAAGGGCAAGTGCCAGATTCAGTACCTCAGTGGTGTAACCTGGGATATATGTATAGACTGGGGGACAGAAGGACAGAAGGGAGTGCAGCCCTACAGAAAAGGATCTGGAGATTTTGCTTGATGGCAAACTCAAAATGAGTCAAAACTGGGCCCTGGAGATCAAAAATGCCAACCAGATCATGAGGTGCATTAAGCACAGTACAGCTAAGTGGACAAAAACAGTGATTGTCCTACTAGACTCAGCCTCACCTTGAATAGAGTTTGGGGTTTCAATACATAAAAAGTATATAAGAATGTGTCCAAAGGAGGCCAACAAAGATTGTGGAAGAACTAGAGGGCTTGCATTATGGGAAACAGGTGAGGACATTAAAAGTTTGCTCAGCTTAGAGAAAAGGTGACTGAAGGGTGACCTCCTCCACAACAGAGGGGTGGAGAAGAAGGTGCTGATCTCTTTTAGATTTCTGGCAGTAGGATGCAGCAGGGTGGCTGAAAGCTGTGTCAGTGAAGGTCAGATTGGGTATTGGAAAAAAGTTCTTCATTGAGAGGGTTTTCAAACAGTGGAACAAGCTCACAAGAATAGTTGTCATTGACCCAGGTCTGTGGGTATTCCAGAATGATTTGGACAATGCTTTTAGGTATATGACTAAATGTTTATTCTGTTCTGTGCAGAGACAGGATTTGGTGAACCTTGTGGGTCTCTTCCTACTCAGGGAGTTCTGTGATTCTATGATTCCTTAATTTTGCACTCCTCAGGCAATCATCAATAAATGTTTGATAAAGAGGGGTTACGGTTATTTGCTCTCCTCCCTCAATATGTGGCAAAAACACTAATTGGAAGGGCCACTTTCTCTCTTTGGGGTATTGAATAAAAACCTGGTTTAGTGTTTATACACCCACACAGGACAGTTATAATTGCTGGGAAAAAAATCAAAACAAGAGATCAAAGGATGCAACTACAAGACTGTGTTCTTAAGAAATAGACACAATTTGAAACATTGTATCCAAACACCACCATCTGTGCTGTTTCATCAGTGCCACTGCTTAGGAGAGAAATCAAGAATTTTAGAGGAGCAACGCAGAGTTTCTTCTGGCGGCAGAGAGGTGATATTGCTGTGTCCCAGCCTTGGCAAATCAACAGGGGATGACACTGCATTTATGGTGTTCAGGTAAGGGTGTCTTGGAAGGCATGGACATACAGGGGCAATGCCCACTCAACTGGAGACTCTGCTCCTCTGAAATGCCCGTATTTGTTTCACCACATTGCTTCCAGCCCTCAATGATACCACTCAGCCCTCAATCAAAAGACAGTAGAGAGGAAGAGGCGCCACAGATCAACAATTGTAGCTGAAATATGTGCCCCTTTATAGCACCCAAACCATGCTAATATGTGGTAGGATTTAGACAAGAATCACCCCATGAACATAACAAACCTCACAGGAAACAGGCATCCAATGATTAAAATCCATGCAGAGGCATCTGAGTCTTTACATTTAGCAGCAATTCTGGGTGTTTTAAAATACAAGAACAAAGAAACATACGAACATATGCATGTGCAACTATCTGTAAGTATTGAATCATAGAATAGTTTGGGTTCAAGGGGACCATAAATATCACCTAGTTCCAACCCCCTGCTGTGGGCAGGGACATCTTCCACTAGACCTTGCTCAAAGCCTTGTCCTACTTGGCCTTGAATAATTCCAGGGATGGGGCATCCACAACTTCTCTGGCAATCTGTGCCAGTGTCTCACTACCCTCAAAGTAAAGAATATCTTCCTAATATTTAAACTAAACCTATCTCTCAGTTTTAATCCATTCCCTCTTCTCCTTACATGCACTGCTGCAGTAAGCAGTCTCTCTCCATCTTTCTTGTGGGTTCCCTTTAGGTGCTGGAAGGCTACAATTATGTCATCCATAAGACTTCTCTTTTTCAGGCTGAACAATTCCAATTACACCTGTGATTTTATATCATATATGATGACAGCAACAACAACAACAACAATAATAATAATAATAATAATTTCAACATCCAGAGCTGAAATTTAATGTGAAAAAACATCCATAAGACCTTATCTATGCCCTATGTTGTAACCTAAACCATTATAGCCAATTTGCCAACATAAGCTTTGTCAAGTTACAAGCAGACACTCAATCAAATACTATTTAATTATTTGGATTTTTATAAAAAACATTTGTTCTGAATTAGTAATATGCTTTGTGGTGGTGTGTACCATCTACATTTCACACAGCAGAAAAAGAAAATTGCTGTCAGCTGAAAGAGTGAACTTGGGTCAATTAACAATAAGCAACTTGAAGGATGGGAAATCCTTTCAGGCGTGCATTTGTCTTTAAAAATGTTTGCAATTTGTATTTAAGTGGTGACAAGTTATGCACGGATGAAAGAGCAAAACATCCCTCTCCTGCTCAGTGATACAAATGAAGATCACATGCACATTCCACAAAAGATAGTGCATGTCCGTGCTCTTTAAGTCTGGCCTTTCAACTGTCCCAGGATACAAAACTGTCTCCAGGGAAGAGAGGAGGGGAAAAGCACTTGTGTTGCTTTATTTTTCTCCTGTTTCTATAATGCTTCGCTCTGCAGAAATGCAGCTGGCTACTGTTACTAAGATTAAGAACACAGCCTCTAACAAATAAAAGCATTAAATTGAATGCTTCTGACGTTTAATCCATGCATGGTTTGCAACACTCAAGTCTTCTATCACACACAATGCACTCACCTACAGTCACACACCCCCTTCAGCAATGGATAATCCTCTCAAACAGTCCATGGTACAGCACAATCATGGAGAAAATGATCTCATGCTTTCAGGAACACGGCAGGATTCCCACTCAGAGCCTGTTGACCTTTGCCCAGGTTTCAGTGACGTGCTTTTGATCGTGTGACTTTTAAAGGCTCATTTGTCATCACAAGGAAGATCACGCTGCTGCCCGTAAATGAACAGGCTTAGAAATACTGCTCTGCTTACACTTGAATCCTTTACAAGCAGCTTGCACTGAGCATTTTAGGGCTTTTTCTACCATACATTAATTTAGTTTATTCTTCTCTATCAGAAGAATACGCTACCAGGGAAATTAAGAAACTTCTTAAAGCGAAAAATAGCTTACGAACTCTGTGATCTGCTGCTTTCTTCTGACTTTCCTTTTACTCACCTTTCAGAAATAAACTGATCTATGTGCATCGTGGAAGATTCAAAATCATTTTTACTTACAGCAGTGGGTTTAAAATTTCATACATAAGGCTGCAGTAAAATGAGGCTTTAGGGGGTGTTTTTGTTGGTTTTGTTTGGGTTTGTTTTTTGTTTTTGTTTTTGTTTTTTTTTTTGTTATTTCTCTTTTCTATTATCACAATCCTGGCAAAATTCAGTAAGCAACACAAGCTAACAGACTGCATTATTGTATACAAAAAGCTAGCATGCATTTTATTCCTTGTTTTGAAGGATACCCACTTGTGATATTTGGAGCACTCCCTCTCTGTAATATGTGGTCTATATAAGAAATGTTGTGTTGTCATAAATATGGCACCTGTCAGGTGGCCCCAGGTCATTCAGTGGTATTTTGCATATGGCTGCCTAAAAACATGGCACAACTTTTTACAAGAATAAGGCACGGAAATGCAGAGAAAATGCAGCCAAAACCTTAATGAAAAGTTTGTTTCAAAAAATGCTCACTGGAAATATCATCATTTATCAACTCCATAGTGAATCCAACCCTGTGTAGATGTGCAACTGCCTAGATATTTGATTCTCACTGCTACAGGAGAGATGTTTTTGTTTCTTGGAGAATTTTGCTGTTTCCCCTCTTGAAGATCTTGATACATTTCATTATATATACACTTTGTAGAGTGGTAGTTTTCTGCTTCCTAAGGAAGCTAAATGGCCTGGTGGACTGAGCATGAGGTCAAAAGCCAGAGCTCCCAAACTCTAATATTGGCTCTGAGACTAACTTCCAGTGTTTTGGGTTCAACAAATGCCATTTTCCCTAAATGAAGGCAGTATGTTTTAAGAGCCACAAAGAGAGCAGCGAGGGATAATTATTATTTTATTGTGTTTTGAAAGCACAGAGCAGCAAAACTATCCACCAAGCGAGGCATGAGTTGCTGAGGTTTTCAGAGTTTTCCTCTCATTATTGTGAGACAGATTTCACTGGAGACTGTGCCATCAGCAGAAGAAAAACCAGTTGCCAAGGGAAGATGCATGTACGAGCTGCAGGCTGAAGGCCAGACTGGGGAAAGCTGTTTTCTTTTCTAATCAGGGTGGAGACAACTGGTAATTGCAGCAGTCTGAGGGGAGAGCTGCCCAGGAGGCTGTGCCTGACCACTGCCTCATTCAGCAGTCTTTCCAGCTGGCAGCTGAGAGCTACCCAGGGACAGCAGGCAGTCCTGGCCCAGAAGGGAGGCCAGGATGGGGCAGGAGCCAGAAGGGAGCCGCTATGAGCAGGAGGCTACAGCTGGGTGACCCCCACTGAAGCGCAGAGCATTGGCCACAAGCGCTGCCACGGGCAGCCTGGCATCAGCACGGCCAGGAGCAGCTCGAGGCAGCTTCGCCAGCTGCCATAGGGACATCTGCTCCTCACTCCCGCCAGCGCCGGGAAGGTGCCAGTCTCTGTGAAGAGCTGGTTTTTCAGCCCAAAATCTGCAGATTGTTGGATCTGTGTCAGAGTCTGACCAAGCCTGAGCTCAGCCCCTTTTGGTTTGCTCTTTTCTTCTTGCTGGGACAGTCAGTGCACAGCAAACTTCACCTGTGCTGGATAAACACACCCATTCCACGTCTCTTATAAGTTCCCAGGCATGATGTGTGTTTTCAATACTTTCTCCAAGGTGAGTGGTAGATGTGGTTCTTGGGAACATATGCAGGGACATGGTCTAGTGGTGGATTTGACAGTATTAGGTTAATGGTTGGACTCCCAAGATTGCAGAGGCCTATTCCAAAATTAAGGATTCTACAATTCTAGGTGGCCTAGTAGGGGTAGAATCCAGATACCAGCAGGTGAATTGTCATTTACAGCGTGGCCCTCAGGCTTCTGCTGCATGGCCAGATCAGCAGGAAGTTTTGGGGTGGGGGGGATGTTTTTCAGTCCCAAGAAGAGATATATTTGAAGTTTATCTGGACCGGAGGTGGTTTGTAAACATTTCACAAATTAATGAAAAGCAGCAATAGGAAAAGCAGACTTTTCTGGACACAGCTGTAAATGTTGGATCCTCTGAGCCCACTAATGAGATCCTAGAGCTTAGTCCCTAGTCCTCAGAACTGATGACTGACTTATTCTAGGCAGCTTTGTGGGGATGCTTTTCTGTGACATTTCCAATTAAAAGCCATGAAAAAATGATATTGGGTTTCTTCCCTCCCTGCAGTGTTTCCCAATCAGAAACACTCAAACTATTTCACTATCTGGGTACATGTTTGGAAGCTGATGCAGAAAACCACCAATCAAAAGCACTGAAAAATAGCAGGAGGCTACAGTATTAACTTTAAAAGCTGTTAGAAATCAATCAGGACTTCAGCAGGGCCTGAGGGGCAGACTGATATAATGGAAGGCAGTCTATTAAATATAAAAGTCAATTAAGCAACAACTTCAGAGCTCCTGTCCTCCACCACAAAAACTTAAAGCAAAAGAGACAATGGCAGCTAGGACCCTTGACTTGTCACAGTCTCATAACCTGAGGGTTTGTCTCTAACAGCTGTGGTCACACAGATAGATAAAGGACAATTAGGCAGGCATTTGTAGGAACTTACGTTCAGGAAATAGTGAAGGTAGCCACCATCTCATCAGGCATCCTGGTCTGGTGTTTGGGGATAGTCCCTCAATGTTATTTAGAGATGACTTTAATGACTCCTTTAAAGTGCAATGCCAATGATTATGGGGGAAAAATACTCAATAACAACACCTAAAACCCAAAACACCACTCCCCAATCCCAAACATTTACTGACACCAAAGAAAAGCTTAGGGAAAAATTACATCCCAAGCACTCTTAAAGCATTAACAATATACCAATATACTCCAGTCTCATGGAGATCCCCTCTTATTAGTGCTTAAAAATATGCTAGATATATGTAAAAATGTACATATGTAAGGTCATAATGACTTGTTCCCTAAATCTTTACCCTCATGCAAAATGGATGGGAAAATTTTCTTCCTCCATTCTAATTTTGTCAGAAAAGCTTAATTCCAGCAGCCAGCATAAGCAGAAAAAATCTATATGACAAAAGGCAGAGGTCAAATGAATAAAGGACTTGCAGTCCCATGATAGTTATGCAATTACTAACACTTTTAAAAATCTAGGATAGATGAAACTTATGTTTAGAAATGCCATTCAATTCAAGCCACAGAACACTTAAAAACACAGAAAGGGCTGCTTAGTTTTTTTTTAGAAACTGTAAGGCAAAATTTCTTTATTTAGAAAACTATGGCATAATTTTAAGAATGAAACATAAATTTTTCCCTCTTATATTTTCCTGATTTTTTTCCTACTCACTTCTTTTCATCTTTTCTGCCACTTGTACTGTGCTTCTACATCTAGAAACAAGGTATAACATTTACATTTAGCAATGCCCTGGTCTCTGAAGACGAGGGTTTAAACTGGCTTTAAAAGAATTCCAAAGCAAAATATGTAAAATTCTATGCTTGCTCCTTCCTGTTTGATATTACCAATTCTGGCAAGAGCCATTACTCCAAAGAGCTGACTGAGTGCAGATTTAGGGGAGGGAGTGTTAGCACTGCAGGGAAGCCTGAATGCTGGGTTCAGACTAATCGGTGAGTAACTTTATGGAGTCATGAAAGTCACCAATTTCATCTATCTGTTATAAATACAGAAAATTCTGAGAACAGTGGAAAAAGCTCATCATTGCATTTGGTCCTATTGTGCAAGATTTTACACTGTTAGGACCGCCTATGGTTAGGGGAGAAGAGGAGCCTAAAAGAAGGGCTTCCACGGAAAAGGCAGGGGGGAGAGAGAAAATATTTACAGCTCACTATTGCCCTCTGGTGTAAGCTGTGCCGGCCTTTCTGATGCTTCCGAGTAATGAAGGGGGAAAATTCCGAAGTACATCTCTTTATTTTAAACGAAAAGATAACAGCTCCTTCCATGAATACGGCATTTTATACCATTTCAAATTAACCTTGAGAGAATCTGGTGTAGAGGAGGAGAGGAGGGGAGTTGGGAAAAGTAATGATAATACGCTGTGCCTTCTCCCCCAGGAATTTTAGGGGAAAAGATATTCTCCTTGGAAAACATTTGCTTCACCGTCCTTCTGCCTTCTTATTTAGTTGCATCATATGGCATCAAATAAATTGTTTCTTTACTGTTATAAGGCAAAAAAAAGACAGTAGAAGACATTATTTGCAGCTTGATTTACAGCATAAGGAAAGAGCTTTTATTTTAAAGAAAATAATGTGCTCCTGGCCATTTCTTATCTGTGTTTGAGTTGAGGGTTTGTTTTCTTTTCAGTTAAGGTTATCTAAAAGTATTTAAAGAATGATCTCTAGATACCAGGATCTGCAAAACACAAGAATGATAAATCTGACAGAATATTTTTTCAGAACAATGTTCCCAAAATGCTTTATATCCAGAGAAGCAATACTGCTGTAAAATAATAAATTTAAATTTTAACATATAAAAGTATGTCTAAAGATGTAATAAAATTACTAATGCAATTTCCTACAAAAATCTTATGATTACTCCAACCTAAAATGAGAGACAGAGGTTGGAAGTAATTGGTACATTTATGATAGGATAGAAAAACATACTCAGAAAAAAAAGACATTTCCCTTGCTGAGGGCTTGATTGTGCCCAATCTCCATTTAATCTTAAATATAATCTGTGATGTGGTTGTACCAATAAAGGAGACCTGCAGAT